ATGGTGCCTTGCAGCCTAGCAGTGCTTTGTAGATCTCATAATCCTCGATTCTTTCCTTGAGTTTATTGAATGATTTTTTTTTCAAGCCAAGTGAACTCTTGGCCTGTCTGGATTAAGTTCCATTGAACCATGTCCTGTGTTGCATTTCTGTCTGAGTGTCCCTAACTATTTGCACTTTGCAAATGTTCAGTTTTGAAATAGAAAACGCCACTCTGAAGTCAAGGACGTGAAGCCTGGGTGACACCAGATTGAGGACTGGGTCCCAAATGAGGTGGGCAGAGGTGACACCGAGCCCCCAGCACCCCTGACTCATGTCTGGGAATAGAGCCTTTGTGGAGAAAATCATGAGCCTGATGTGTTTTGTGTCATTTTGCACGTCCGGGACTGGTGGTGGGTATTGCTAAAGTGGTGGGAATGCTCAGACCTCTTTCAAATGCAGCCCTGTGCCATTGCTCTGGGGGCAAGTGGCCTTGGTCCCCAGGTTTTATCTTTTCAGCCCACTGCCTCGATATCCTGTAGAGAAATGGTTCAAGAAGGTTGGTTCCTTTATGACAATAAGTATTTTAAAGCCTGGTGAAACTTGACATGCCTGCAGATGTTCTGCAGCTCTCATGCTTATGAAATAACTAAAGCTTCTCAAATGTCACAGGGCTCCTTTCCTGCAGGAATACAGCTCCTGTATGTGGCAGCATGGCTGAATTCTGATGGGCTCAGTTCAGCCTGTGCTGGTTGGTGCTGGAGGAGATCCTGCTTTCCTCAAGAAAGGTGGTGTTTTTGTCTTACCTGTGTGCTCTTGGCCTCTGGGGTAAAACCCCATTGCAAACTCAGTGAGTAGGGGCACAGAGCTGCAGTTTTGTTTCAGAGCAGTGCCACCAGTTCAGCCTTTAAAGAATGATGTGTCAGACTTGTTTCTTGAGCTCTTGAAAGACATGAGCTTGATGAAGGGGCACATTGCTCTGCCCAGTGCAAGCTGGTCACAAGCCTCAGCTCTGAGCAGCAGAGCCATATTTTTGATCTTGCAACTTGTAGCCCAGTAGAGCTCAAGGGATGATTGCCCGATGCTGCATTGTGGGTTATTCTTTGCTTGTAGGAATTATCATTATTTGATGTGGGAATTCTGACTGTCACCTACCCTGCGACTGCACAATTCCTTTCTTTGCAGTTTTCTCTACAATTAAATGGACATGCTCACTTCATACCTGCGGGTGTCCAGCCCCAAAACAACAGTGTGAGCATGACTTATGTTCCCTTGTTTTGCAAGAGGACCGTGTTTTGTATTGGCTGTGGTCCCATGGGTCTGTCAGATGCCTCAGCATCATCCAGAGCAGCCTCGTAGCACACTTAAGCATCAAAGGAAAGCAGGTCTCCTTCTGCCGTGTAAAATGTAGTATTTGCAACATGCACATGAACCAAACTGCTGAAATGGGTTCATTTAGTGGAGGTAGTTTAGCAGAACACATGTATAAAAAATAGGGAATTCATGGAAGGGTTTCCTGTTCAACGTGTTATTTTTGCCAGCAGATGTCAGGCTGCTCTGGCTGTGAAATACTTGCTTGCCATGCAGATTTCCCTTGTAATTTTTGGAAAGAAGTTGGGAATAATTTTTATTTTCTAACATCAGTCCTGGCCTTCCAAATTGGACGTGGAAGTGTGTGAGCACAGAGTGACTCACTAGTTTTAGTGGGTCAAGGAAATTAGATTAGTGACATCATCTGTCCAGAGATATTAGAGACCAAAAATCTGATCTGGGTGGCTTCGGAGAGATAGCTTTAATGCTCAACCCCTGCTTTGAAGTCGTACTGTCATGAAATCAGAGCATGATTGTGAGGTGACAGGCGTTTGAGCTTGTGTATTGAGCCTGATTTTTTGCAAGGTTGTATAACACCTGATTGTGTCCACTTCAAATGCGCAGACATACTAGAAGAGTGTTACAGCAGCATTCAAAATTTGGATATTGCTAAGAGCTCAGAAATTCCTATGTGTAAAAGTCCTGTGTGGAAAGAGTACTTTGCCTAGCCTCACCTTGAAAACTATGTTTGTTAGCAAAGTTTGGCATTGCAAGGTGTCTGTCTGCAAGCTGAAAGCCTGCTTGTTTCAGGTAACTGGAAGCTCTCTGCTGAGCCCCTGGCAGTCTCTGTGCTACGTTCCTGGCAGGAACAAGGTGCTGTCTCAGTGGTGCCAGGACAAGCAAGCAGCAGCAGGAGAGCTTGCCAAGGACCACAAGTGGACTGCTTGGGTCTGTGGGAGTGCTGAAGATCCTGGTCTGGTGGTTCGCGACCCTGCTCTTGGCAGGGGGGTTGAAACAAGATAATCTTTGAGTCCTTTTCAACCCAGGCCATTCTGTGATTCTGTGAAGGAGGAGGGAAACCCAGTTCAGCAGCCTGCCTGGTGTGAGCAAACGCTGGCAACCCCGGCAGGACATCTAGTCACCCAGTGCTGTGTTCCTCAATTAAATCTTACTATTTTGTAATATCTTTGTCACTGCCTGAAGCTAGTGCTCCATCCTCCAAGTCCAGCTGTGGCAGTGGGATCCTGGGACCTGTAGCAGGCAGAAATTTCCAAGGTAATGCTGGCTCTTTGGGGGCTTTTCCTGGGAAAGAATAGAGCTAGTTTTGAAACACTTATCGTCATAGCCCTTTTCAGCAAGTTACACTTGGGAAAAGTCAGTAGGTTTTGGGTTGTGGGAATTAAATCAGGACTTCAGAAACTCCAAAATTTCTCCATCTTCCTTGATTCTGATTGTAAAGGTGAGCCACTGACAAGCAAACCCCCCCCCTTCATGTTCTTCCTCCTTTTGCATATGACAGGTTTTCTTTTCTGTGAAAAGAAATGCGAAATTCAAGTGACTGTCATACAGAAGGATTTCCCCCTGTGATGGACTCTTGATGTCAATGCACCCATTCTCAAGGGCAGCCGTGGCAATTGCCCTGGGAGAAGAAATTTTCTACTTAAGAGACCCAGAAACACAATTTTCATGCATCAAGTTCAGCTACAAGTTGAAATCATTTTTTTATTAAGATGGCAGGATGTAGGAGAGGGTTTTAAAAGTAAGATCTGTCTCTGTAGGCTTAAGAGTGTTTGATTTCAGATGATGTCCCATGCAGCTGATGGACTGGGGTTGGTGTGAGTCCCACTGTTTCAGACATGGGGATATCTTGCCTCTTTAGCAGCAAAGCTGCTCATAACATAGGAGCAAAATAGGAGGGATCTGGTACCGGCAGGTAGGAGGGGTCTGGAGTTAGAGTCACAGCCTGGCTTGGGATGGAAGGGACCTTGAAGCCCACCCAGTTCCAACCCCTTCCGTGAGCAGGAATGCCACCCACATCTGAAATTGCTGCTGGGTTGCTTTCCCAAGCTCCAGAAGATGCTAGTGCGAACAAAAAAACCTGCTCCAAGATGTGCGTGGTGCAGATTTGCAGCAGCATCTGCTTTAAAGATAATAAGCTCGTGATGTCAGCCAGGTAGGAACGTGTTAGCACAGACATTATCGTAGTCCCTGTCGTTCTGGGTAGATCAACGCCTTGCAGAACCACATTGCAAGGAAATCAGCGTGCTGCCAGAGTTCCTGCTGACACAGGCAGCAAAGGGGTGTAGAAAGGATATTTTGAGTGTGTGGGTTTCATTTCTCTGTGCTGAAATACCTGCCTCTTCTGTTGTCGCTTGCAGATAAATTGCAAAACTGCTGTTCCGTATGCTGGATCATGGAGGGCTGTGCAGTTACTGCTCAGGCATCGTGCTGCACTGAGCGGCTCCTCTGCAGGGCTGAGCCATGGTGTGCTGGCACAGGGGTGCTCACACCATGGTGCCGGACTTCTGCGAGGAGTAAAGCTGCAAAATTTGCCTTTGTGTTTTGTGAGCAGGTGTTGTCTTGCTGGCTGTTACCTTCTACGTGTGCTCATTTAATCCTGCTTCAGGAGTCCAGACTGCTGGGGACAAGCATAAATTAAACCATAATGGTGATGTCTCAGCTTGCAAGCTCCAAATGTCCAAAAAGACAGTCCCCCTGCAAAACAAACTAAAAACTAGCACACACACAAAAAAACACACAGAACAATCCTGCCTGGTTTGGGGAGTGGAGGCTTTGAAGAATTGGCAGTGTGCTGCAATGCCTATGGAAGGTCTGTGTATTGGTCCTGTGTGCCCGCAAGCAATTGCAAGTGGAAAATTTCACCTCTGGTTTGCAAGCATAAAAAGAGGCCGATTCTGATGGTTTTAGCTGAAGTGGAATATAAATTGGGTGTGAAGTTCTGAGTCTTGCTGATGATATCTCTGTGATCTCAGCTGAGATGCTGGCCTCAGAGAGAGAGAAGAGGGAAGAAGGATGTTACTTCTATTATGGAATGGTTTTCACTTAGATTTTTAAGCAGACAGAGCCCTCTGTTGCCTGCAGAACACCAAGTCTCAAGTGCGTCCTTCTGCCTTTGATAAACTGGGCTAAAATGGTAATGACTCAGAAGGCAGAGGAAAAAAAAGGCTATTCTGCAAACACTTTTAAAAGTGAACTTCTTAGTCTCCTTTTTTTTTTTTTTTTTTTTTTTTGGTATCTTGTCAAAAAACCCATCTCTGACACATAAAACACGCTTACTTCCCTGCTGTGACTTCAGATGGAGAAATATTTACCTAGCATGACACAAACTGTGGGAAAGCCCAGCCCAGCCTTCCCCCCGCCCTGCACCAGAGATTTGAGGGGGATGAACCTGCATCAAGCAGAATGTGGCTTGGGGAGAAAATATTTCTGTGTTTGCTCCTGCTGGGACTTTTCCTTTCCTATAACTGACACCAAAGGCAAATAGTTTTCTCACTGTTTTGCCAGTTTTCTTCCCATTTTACCATGTTGGTTGTAGCATTTTCCTGTGCAACAGTGTTCTCAGCATTTGCTGCAGTGGCTTTTGCTGATGTTCAATGAATGTACGTGTCTCTTCTGTCCTGGCTGAGATTTTCTGGTGTGTGGAGTGCAGCAGGGTAACAAAAGCATTTTGTTTCACTCTGTTTTTCTTTAGAGATCAACCAATGTGGTTTACCAAGCCCATCACGTCAGCAGGAGTAAACGAGGACAAGTTGTTGGTACCAGGGGCGGATTCCGTGGCTGCACGGTTTGGCTAACAGGTATTTTCATCCACATCGCTGTACACATGAGAGCTGTGTGGACAGATGAGGAGAATGGCTTGGAGGTGGTGATCTGGGGTCTGCAGGCAACACCAGCACTCCTTGTGAGCTGGTGCGAATTTGCAAAGTGATTTTGTACAGAAGCGCGGTGCTGGCAAAGTAAAATGATCTTCCTGCAGTGGCTGCCCCTAAATAAGGCTTTTATAAATTTTGCAGCTGTTGTTGGGGCTTCCATTTGCTTGCTCCCTTGACTGAACACATGGAAAGCCCTGCACATTGCTCTTGGTGTTCCAAGCTGAGGAACCCTTGGCTCAAACTCACCTGGTCCCTGGCAGCAAAACGCGCTCAAGATCATCCAGAGCAGCATTCAGAGATTTTCATTCTGGGTCGGTGGAAAGTTCATGGGGGCACCTAGGTTTCCTGTGTTTCAGAAACCTTGTGAGTGGCAGAACAAGTTGGTCTTGTTGTCTGAAAAGGAAATACAGACAGTGAATCGTGCTAAAAGTGATTTCTTGCACCTTCTGATGTGTTGCCTTTCTCTTTTGTTTTGAAAAACAAATTCAAGATCTGGGGCCCAGGGAGCATTTGTTTTTCTCTGCTGACATTTGCACAACTCTCTTTTTTGACACTTGTCCAGGTGTTTCTTTGCTTGTTAAGTATTGCTATTCTCTGACTGACAGAAGATGTTGCAAGACATGAATGGAAGAGTTTGTAAAGCCATTCTGATTCAACACATCATTGTGTGCTGAATGCTGGAATAAAGCACATCTCTGTTTTCTTCTCTTTCATCTTGGGAAGAAGGCCCGCATCTGATCTGTTTTAACCCATTTCTGAAGCTGAAACATCCTATCCAAGGCAATTCCCTTCTTTCTAGTATCATTTAAGGACCCTGTATGTGAAAAATGTGAACTTCTTTGACTGATGATTATTCTTTGAAGTATACAGCGGTCTCCTAACTTCCTATCCATTGACTTTTAAGAGACCACGTGGGAGGACACTACATGGACTGCATAGATTAAATGCACAAGTGGACAGAGCTGGGTTGGGATGCATCCGCCTCCCTTAGGATCGATGACTTTCTACTGGTGACCCCCCGCCATCCCATTCCTGAGCCTCACTTTCAAACCGGAACCTCACTTTGCTGTCTCCAACAGGTCTTTCTGGAGCCGGTAAGACAACCATTGGCTTTGCTCTGGAAGAGTACTTGGTCTCTCATGGCATCCCCTGCTATTCCCTGGATGGTGATAACGTTCGGCACGGCTTGAACAAAAACCTGGGCTTCTCAGCCGGGGACCGTGAGGAGAATATTCGCCGCATCGCAGAGGTGGCCAGGCTGTTTGCTGACGCTGGGCTTGTCTGCATAACTAGCTTCATTTCTCCTTTTTCAAAGGTAAACTGTCTGCGTCATATTCTGCTCTTTCCTGGGCTGCTTTGATCTCATGAACACTCCTGGGAAAGATTAGTTCATGTAGAGGACCTTCTGTATGTGCCTCCAGATCTTCTCTCTTCTGTGCAATGCCACAGGTTTACAAAATTAAACACCATCAGTAGAGTTTTCTGGAGTGCCATTTCACAGAATCACAGAATGGCCAGGGTTGGAAGGGACCTCAAAGATCACAAATCTCCAATTCCCCGCCACATGCAGGGCCCTCAGCCTCCCCATTTAATACCAGACCAGGCTGCCCAGGGCCCCATCCAACCTGGCCTTGAACACCTCCAGGGGTGGACAGGGCATCCACAGCCTCTCTGGGCAGCTGTTCTAGCACGTCACCACTCTCATAATAGTTTGACAATGTTTTTGCTTTCAGTTCTGCTAGGAATTGGTTAAAGGCTCAGTGACATTTGAAATCTCATTGTGTAGCCTCCTACTATTAACTTTGTAAGAGAATAAGCATAAAGTCAATAGCCTGTCATAGTGCTATCAGTATTCTATATGAATAAGTTATTGTATTTTTGTGCTTCCTGAGAATACCAAATGTCTGACAGTATCAAGCCAACACAAACAGTTGCTTTTTTAACACAGAGCAGATAATTATTCTCATCCCAATTTTGGCTGTCCTACTTAATGAAGTGGTCTTCCAAACTAGCTTCAAAGAAAAGAGGGTAACGGGAATAAAAGCCGTTATTAAAATTGGTTTAAATTTAATAAATCTATACCAGAAAGTAATTTACCTCTGTCAAATTTCAGGAAACGTCAGAGAGTAGGAGGGTGCTTATTGCAATGCACACGTATCATTTTCCTACCTTTCTTCTCACAGGATCGTCAAAATGCACGGAAAATTCATGAGGCTGCTGGGTTGCCTTTCTTTGAAATCTTTGTTGATGCTCCTCTAAATATTTGTGAAAGCAGAGATGTGAAGGGCTTGTACAAAAAGGCAAGAGCCGGAGAGATCAAAGGTATGGAAGAATGAGGTCTTAATTTGCCTTTTGCTTTCCAAAGCTTCAGATAGCTAATCTTGGCAGCTCTGCACATAGAAAATCTCAAGGTGTGTTAATAAAGGCTCTTTGTGGCACAAAGGGTATCCTGTTTCCCTAATCTTACTGTCACAAGTGTACTTGTAGTACTGAGTATGGCTGAATGCTCGTTGGTTGTTTGTGTAGTGTGGACTCTAGGGGGCGGAGTATTACATTAAATGTGTTTGGTTTGTGTTTAATTGTCAATAGGATTCACAGGGATTGACTCAGACTACGAGAAGCCCGAATCTCCTGAACTGGTGCTGAAGACGAACATTGCGTCAGTGTCTGAATGCATCCAGCAGGTTGTGGAGCTCCTGCAAACACAAGTAGGTCACTTATTTTTACCACCACCACCACTGTCAGCTAGTAAATCTGACTTCATATTCTGGGTTCTTAGTGTGCATTTAGAACCAGCATTACCATTGCTCTCTCTCTCTTTCAGAACATTGTGCCCTGTGCATCAATTAAGGATGTTTTTGAGCTGTTTGTACCCAAAAATAAACTTGATGCTGCTCGAGCTGAAGCAAATGCACTGCCATCCGTGGAGATCACAAAGGTATTGTCTCGCCTGAATGCTGCGCTGTAACTCATCCTTGTGCTGTTTGAAGGGCAGAAGCTTTGTTCAGTGCCTTGTTTGTAGAATCGTGGCATGGTTAGGGTTGGAAAGGACCTTAAATGTCATCTAGATCCAACTCCTGCCATGAGCAAAGACACCTCCCACTGGATCAGGCTGCTCAGGGCCCCTTCCAGCCTGGCCTTGAGCACCTCTGTGGATAAGGCGTCCACAGCTTCTCCGCGCATCACCACCTGTCCCAGTGTCTCACCACTGTCTGAATACAGAATTTCCTCCTAACATCTGATCTAAACCATCACACCGACACGCAGCACCACTTTTTCCCCTGTAGGAACATCCTTTATTTAATGCAGTGAGACTGCTTTCGCAGCAGAAGGGAGGGTAAAGCAGCATGACTTGGTGACAGAGAGCCATCTGGGTTTGTTTTGTAGCTGGATCTGCAGTGGGTGCAAGTGCTGAGCGAAGGCTGGGCCACGCCACTGAAGGGCTTCATGCGCGAGGCAGAGTACCTGCAGGTCATCCATTTCGGCACGCTGCTGAACGGTATGGGCTGCCTTCGTGCTCACTCTGTGTGTATGTAACATACATATGTGTGACTCACACCATGCTCAGTTCTCCTGGGGTAGAGCAAGATGCAAACCTCAAACCAGGGGAGGCTGTCAGGCTGAATTTCAAGCGGGAGCAGGGGGCAGCTGCTCCTTGGAAACAAGGAGAGAGTCTGATTTTGCTTTTCTATTTCTTATTTTCATATTTCTCTATTACCTTACCCTAAAATAAATCGGATTTAGCTGTTAATTAGCTTTAATTAGCTGGGGGCCTTTTTGTCTCTGGAAGAGGCAAATATATTCAGACAGTGCCAGCCAATTCCTGAGCCTGGTGTGGTAGATTTTTGTGTCCCAGGTCTCAGACAGAGATGCAATTGCCATGCACACATTGGGTTTTAGACCTAGCAGAGGTGTCCAGCCTTAGGGGTTCAGGATCTCGGTGCAGGACACCCTGCAGGGAGTCTTGCCCTCCTCCTCAAGGACCCTGATACTGCCATAGCCATGCAGGGCAGCAGCTTGGTGCTGGGTTAAGCAAAGGCACTGCTTAGCTCAGGACAGTCCACACTTGACTGAGCAGGATCTGCAGGTGGGCAGCTGGAGCATGTCACATGTTTTTGTAGCTTTTTTCACACTTTGAGGAGTAAATCTACACTGAAGTTTTTGTTGAGTTGCTTTGATTCTGCAGACTATAACAGGTGCCTGTGGGTGTTAATTACCTTAATTATGTTTGTGTTCTCCCAGGAAAGAATTTCTCTGTAACTGGTATGTATGTAACTATCCTTAGGTTATATGGAAATCACTACAATTAGAGTTTCTGCTATTACTTTTTACTATTTAAATTCTTAAGACTGGACACAAGCACGTCTTGTTTATGATTCAGCTGTTTATCCTGCATCCTACTGACCAGTCCTCACAAAAATCCTAGTCATTTTGTAATTATTCACCTCCACTGGAGTGATTAGCATCTTGCGTTTGGAAGTGGAGCATAGAGATCCTCAGCTTCAGCATCCTTTGTGGGTTTCATAATCCAGCTTTTTCCACGCTGACTTTATTGACTGATCACTGGTTAGTTACACATAAAACAGATATAATGATTATATTTAATCAATATTTAAATATTAACATGTTTGTAAAGATTATTCAAATAACTTCATATATTTAATTGGTTGATTGGTCCATATGTGACAGTAGTTACGGGTACCCAATTACTCATCAAGGTGCTTGAAAATTGCTGCCTGTCAAATGAATAATGTCTGGTCATGAATTAAAGCAAATGGAAGCATTTAAAAAAGATTAAACAAAATAGTCAAAATCTTCCAGTCTCTGGTGTCCAACATGATTTCTGTCAGATCCAAGCAAAGTGAATCAGTGATTTATGATCTGTTTGTTCTTGTTCATGAATAGCAACCCATGGAAAAACTTACAATCTCAGTGTGCTAATGCTGGCATGCCCAAGTAGAAGAGGTCTGAGTGGAGGTTGTTGTCCTGAAAGAGGATACCTGGGCTGTAGCCAGGGCCGCGATCACCAAGGACACTGAAACTCTGCAGAGACATTAGAACAACTAACTGGAAAAGAACGAATCTTTCTGGGAGAGAAAAAGAACAGCGAGATACTCTAGGTGTCCTTAGGACATCTCAGACAGTGAGATAAGGAGCTTTCTTTGCCCACTAATGTTAGCATTTGTTTACAGCGCAAAACAAAATTTGGGCAGTGAATAAATTCATGTCACTGATGGCAGGTCACTGAGATATAGGTAGAAAAACTCAGCCTTCCTCTTCAACAAGAGAATTTGTGCCTCGAATCATAGAATCAGAAGGTTGGAAAGGACCTAAAAGATCATCTAGTCCAACCATTACCATTGCTACCACAAGCCACTAAACTATGAGTGTCTCAGTGCACTCCAGCCTCTCCCACCAACCCTCTGCAGTCCATCCCAGTGCCAAAGAATGCCGCTTTAGGTCTTTGGAGGACACTGACATCCACCCTTCTCTTTGCAGATGGTGTCGTCAACCTGAGCATCCCCATCGTGCTGCCAGTGTCAGCACAGGACAAGCAGCGGCTGGAGGGCTGCGGGGCGCTGGCGCTCAGCTACGCAGGGCGCAGGGTGGCCATCCTCAGGGACCCCGAGTATTTCGAGCACAGGAAGGAGGAGCGCTGCGCCCGCATCTGGGGCACCACCTGTGCCAAGCACCCACACGTCAAGGTGGGTCAGCGCCATCCCTCCTGCTGATGGAAACCCAGGCAGGGTCAGAGCTATGCACAAGAGATCCAAACCTTTCCAGGGTTTCCACATTGTTAGCTCTCCAGGAGGAGTGTTACTTCTCAAGCATGCAGGAAGACTGAATGTTTAGGCTTACATGCTGCTTAACAAGAGCATCAGTGAGGTAATAAGCAATTCAGAGGGAGTGCAATCATGCTGCTAAGGAGTTGCTATTTTCATTTCCTCACCTTTACCTGTATACCAACATCCGAATGTTTTTAGCACAGCCAGCAGCTCAAAGACTTCCTGAACCTGGGTGTGTAACAATTTCCTAGAATCATAGAATCAGGAAGGAGGAAGGTGGGAAAAGACCACTAAGATCATTTAGTCCACCAACAGCCCATCACCACCACCCACACCACACTTGTGCAGTCAACAAATATACAATTAGCAGAGTGGTATCTACAGGTCTTATAACTAAAAGGATTATCAAGGGGGGAAAAGGATAATGGAAAATAAATGAAAATGCTCACCTGTGTCCTAGGCTCACAAAAAAACTCCGAAGGGAGCAATCTCCAGAAGGATCCTTCCTCAATGGCAGTCAGCCCTTAAATGGGGCCTAGGAGAGGTGCAGCCAGGCTCCAACCCTTCTGGTCACACAGTTGAATTGCCTTCACCTGTGCTCCGTGGCTGACTCAGTGCTTGCCTCAGGTGGTCAATGAGAGGTTCAGGCCATGATTCAAAGTTCCCATACACCACTAAACAAGCCATGTCACTCAGTATGGCATCTACTTTTGCCTTGAGAGCCTCCAGAGATGGATGCTGTCAAACACTCACACTGCAGACCCCTGGCTGTGCTCCTTTTAGCTACAGGCTGCTCCTCAATTTGCCTGTCTGTACTGGCAGTCAGCAAAGGAGTTGTTCCTTATAGTTCATGAGTTCATCTTTCCCACTGTCATGTAGCGAGGGACTGTTCTGGGTTATGCTGTGTGACCTGAACTTCAATGGCCAAAGCAATGCTAATTCTTTTCCTCTAACTTAAAATACCTCCATTAATTATTTAGCAGCAGTTGCTCTCTTGAAACAGGCATCTTTTTATCTTAGTTGTGAAAGTTTAATTATGCCATTGATGATGAGAAGAACAGCTTTGACAGTACATTAAGGCAAATTTGAGGATTTCACACAAAGCCTTGTGCAATCCTAAGTGGGTCAGTGCAGGGTAATGAGGTCAGGAGCTTCATTATTGCAGCTGAGGGAGATTTCCTTAAGATTGTGGGGCTGCACACTCCCGAAGCAGTGCCCCAGATGGGAAATAGCATTTCCAGCGCTGGATAGAATGGAGGGTGGATGATACAGTGGTGTTACCATTACCAGAGTGCTGCTCGCAGAGGGAAGGCTTTGCAGGAGCAAAAGTTGAGGTGGAAGAAGGGCTGTGCCATAACTTCTTGGCCCTGGGCTGCAGAGGTGAGCACAGCGCACAGCTGGGTGTGGTGGTGCAGCCACTGGTGCCTTGCTAATTTTCGTGGTAGTTTTGACCTACAGTACACAGAGAAAGGAGGATCGCTCCACAGGCAAAACCGTGCCTAACGAGTTTCAGAGGAGACTGGGAAATGAGAGGGGGCTTTTTGCCATCCTGAGAATACGCATGTAATTCACAGATGGTGATGGAGAGTGGAGACTGGCTGGTGGGGGGAGACCTCGTTGTGCTGGAAAAGATCTGTTGGAATGATGGCCTGGACCAATACCGCCTGACACCGCTGGAACTCAAGCAGAAGTTCAGGGAAATGAATGCTGGTGAGTGCCTTGGGTTAGCACCAGTGACAGCATCGCCTTGCCCCCCCATAGAGCACAGATATTTTGTGGCCTGTAGCTGTGTCATTTCAGACTGGAATATTTCAGGGAAGTGTTTCTAAGGGGGTTCAGCCTAAGGGGGCAGGCTGAGAGGTAGGAAGTATTGTACAGCCTAAGGATCTATCGCTTCCTTGTGAATTCCTGTTTCTGAGCACCAGAGGTGTCTGTGTGCTCAGACAGTCTGTGCCCTGGCTAAAGAGTGCTTCTGCAAAGTGCAGTTGTACATGGAGCAGCCAAATCTGGGAGCTCCATTCTGTAGCTCTGGCACTGTAATTAGAGCCATAAATCTTCTGTCATGTCTGACAGCTCAGGCTCTTTCTCATCTATGCCACCCCAGAAATGGCCTTTGTAGTGTTCCTGCAGGATCAACACATTAGGGCTAATTAGGTTTCATGTGCTGAATATGATGTTAACTCTTTCTACCCTCTCTTGCCACAGCAATGGCATCCGAGCAGCAGATGCTAGCCCCCTAGATGCTTATTTCAGAGGGGAAGAGAGTATTGGCCTTTGTGAAGGTGACATTGTGAGGTTATGGAGGTGACAGATTTCTTAAAGAGCCAGGAAACTCCTCAGGGATGTGGATTTCTATCCAGTGCTAACCAGAAACAAGGCAGAATTGCTGATCGGACTAAAATCGGCCCCAAAGGAAGGATGTGCAATGAAAATAAATTGACAGAGCAATCCAGAGGTGCTGTACATGTGTATTTAAGGTCTGTTTAATGTGAAGATAGGACAGCAGATCTGTGCCTGTCTCCTGATGGTGTCATATTGTACAGAGCACTTAAACAAGGCAAGCAGAGGGAAGCTCAGCACAGGCCCACGACCCTCTCACTTTTCTGTTTCAGATGCTGTCTTTGCATTCCAGCTGCGCAACCCCGTGCACAATGGGCATGCCCTGCTCATGCAGGACACGCGGCGCCAGCTCCTGCAGAGGGGCTACAAAAACCCTGTGCTTCTCCTGCACCCCCTGGGTGGGTGGACCAAGGATGACGATGTTCCGCTGGAGTGGCGGATGAAGCAGCATGCGGCGGTGCTTGAGGAGCACGTCCTGGACCCCAAATCCACTGTTGTTGCCATCTTCCCCTCTCCCATGCTCTATGCCGGCCCCACAGAGGTAAGGTAGATGCTGGATGCTTGTTGATAGGCCCTGTCTTTGTGCATTCAAATAGCAAATAGCTTCCTCTGTTCACTGTCACACTGGAACAAAATTGTTTCCAGTCCTGGCATTTCCCACTGACATATGTGTCCGCAGAAAAGCTGAGATGTTGCCCCAGGTCCACGCAGTGAGAGATAAATCTGTGTGTGCTGACATGAGAAGTGGTGTGGCTGCTCACATCTCCACCGTCCTTCCCTGCTGTATGCGAGGTCTGGCTGGCCAGGAGCTCCTTGCAGTCAGGGCTGCTGGGCTCAGCATCCCTGTCTCTCCTTCCCAGGTGCAGTGGCACTGCCGGGCTCGCATGATTGCTGGCACCAATTTCTACATTGTGGGGCGCGATCCTGCAGGCATGCCTCACCCCGAGACCAAGAAGGACCTGTATGAGCCCACGCAGGGAGGGAAGGTGCTCAGCATGGCGCCGGGCCTGACGTCGGTGGAGATCATCCCATTCCGTGTAGCGGCTTACAACAAAGTGAAGCAAGCTATGGATTTTTATGAACCAGAAAGGTAACGTGAGCACCGCAGTCTTCTTTTCTTTAACCTACGTAGCTGCTGGGGAGGCATTTCACCACAACTGCAGCTCGTTTGGAGAAAGCGTCTCCCTCAGGAGACGGTGCTGCTGCTGATAGGAACCTCAGCATGGGATGTTGCTGGCGGGGAGGTGGCACCAGGGGCTTGCAGCTGCATTCCTGGTAGGGCTGAACAGCTGCACTGGGACAGCTTGGACCACTTGGCTGACCTCACCCTTCTCTGTTTTGCTTTAGGCACAGTGACTTTGACTTCATCTCAGGAACACGCATGAGAAAGCTCGCTCGCGAAGGGGAAAACCCACCGGATGGCTTCATGGCCCCCAAAGCTTGGAAAGTGCTAACTGAGTACTACCAATCGCTGGAAAAAAAGAATTAACACTACTTCTCCTCCTAGAAATACTTGTATTAAGAGTGAGCAATGATTGATTCCCTATGATAGAGATCAGCTACATGGCATTTTCACTATTCTGACTGGTGGGACTTTTCCTGTCTGGATCAGAGTAGTTTTTAATAATCAGAAATACTTTGAACCAAGTCCTCCTCCCCTCAGAGCTGGAGGAGGAGGACAGCCAGCCCTTTGCTTCCAGCCTGGTGCAGCTCCAAGGTGCCTGGTGCAGTGTTGAATGAGGCCAGCTGGCTCATTTGGTGCTGCCTGGGCAAATCTGTGCACCTGCATGGAATAGAAGCAATGAAGTGTCCTTCCTTTACCCCTTGCCCAGCGCTGCCCCAAAAGAGGGACCAAGGAGTGGTTGCTGCTGGCCCTCAGTGCTTGGATCCAGTTGCTGCTCTCAAGGTCGCGCCTTAGACATTTGCTAACAGTGAGACTTTTTAGTGCCTTTTTATGAACAGCCTCATTGCTGAGTCAGTGCCTCACTGGTCTTCTCTTCCTCCTGCTTGCCCCCTCTGGTAAAAAAAAAACAACTGGCTGTGATCCTGGTGCTCTAAGCTCGCTTCCCATGGGGACGCTGGGATTCCCTGTGCTCATGGCCCAGTGGGCACCATGGCGGCCGTGTGGAGCATCAAGTAGCCTGGGAGATCACTGAGAAGATGCTGATCATACAGGACAGTGCGAAGGGCTGAACTGGGGCTGCCTTTGCCTGATGGAGAGCTCTTGCAGCACTATTCTGGTTTTCCCCACCACGGACTTTGCCATCGCACCTCATGCCTTCCCTCTGATTTGTACTGCCATGGTGTTGGGAAGGGTGAACAGCGCCTTCCCTGACAGCTGCACTCGGAGGGGAGGTTTTAGGGGACAGCAGAGGGAAGGCAGCCATGCACGCATTACCACCAGCTTTTGTGGCCTTTGCACACATCCTCTTCAGTCAGTTCCGCAGGGCTGCTCAGCGCAGGTTTCACAGGAACTGTTCTGCACGTGCCGCCTTTTAATTACAGATGGGTCCAGGCTCAGCAAGAACAACCCTGGTTCTGCGGGGGACTGCGCATCAAGCAACGCCGCAAGCTCAGAGCTGTTCTGCTGTGGCCGTGGTGCAGTACCAAGATTACACATGCAATTGGGAATATTTTTGTACGAAGCGTCTTATTTTTCATTTGTCACCTGATGTTGGTTTTCTTTTTGTAATCTTTTTATATATTCAAAGAGAAGAACAAAAAGCTGTGTTATACCTCAACATTGTGCTGCAGCCACCCCGGCAGTAGCCAAGAGCATACCAGCACCAGAGCCTTCCACATGCAGGCCCTCTGGCAGGGACCTGGAAGATAAAAGCAAGACACCAATTTTTAATTGCAATATTGGCTATTTTGAAGCAGCAGTTAGCTGTTGCCTCTCATCCCAAAAGAATCAAGCAGTGCAAGACAATGTACTTAATCCAGATGGCCACAGCAAAACGCAATTGTTGAATTGTTCTTTTAAAATAGCATAGTATACAGATTACCTCTGATTAAAATAATGTGGACTAGTTTTTTTGTGTGTATTTATTAAAGACATGAGACTGGAATTTGTACCTCAACTGATGCATCTCCTGATTTAATATATTCTGACCCTGATACTCTGAGACACTCACTTTTAGTACAAATAAATATTTATACATGTAAACTAATACTGACATTGTGATTGTTGCCTTATTTTGAGTCAGGCGAGGCTCATTCAGCAGCACTGAGCGCTGTGCTGCCTGCCGCTCCCAGACCCCAAGCACCCCTCAAGATGAGTTTCCCCACACACCAGAGGGGGTTTCCCATGTCCAAACCTCGCTCAAATAAGGCTGTAAAGAAGCAGCACTTGCAGAATTCAGACACACTCATAAACATTATGTTCTTGCGTAAATCCTGCAGTATCCCCGGGCTCCCTGGCAAGCTCCTGGGAAGGGCCTCTAAGGTGCAGAGTTGTCCTTGGAGAAGTGAGAACAGCTCAGCTGCAGGAACTATCCCTTCGGCAACTGCAGATCACCCCACGTGCCACCTCTCCCCCCCCCCCTTCTCTTAGGCCTGGTGAAGGCAAGATGAGGAGCACGCCAACAGCCCCTTTGCTGGGGCCACATGGACAGGACCGCAGCATTCAGCTGGGGCCCAGGGTGCTCCTGCAGGCATCCCTGTGTGCAGGTTTGATGTTTAACCTCACACTCAGTCTGATTATAAACCAGGATTAAACCGCTTCCCCCAAAGTAACACACACTGTGAAGAAGGATGGACACAGCTGAATGGACTGAGCAGCTCGAGCTCTGCTTCTGGTGCAGGCATAATCCCAGCCTCCAGAGAAACTGCCACAATTGATTACAAAGGTCAGATTTTGCAGCTCACCCCCGTGCAGCGTGGAGGGTGGCTCCCTGTCCTCCAGGGGCTTCCAGGTGCTCGAGCTGCTTTTTCAGCCTACAAGCTGAACTCACACTGTCAGCAGTGCCTGACACCAGACAACACCTCACCCCGGCTCTCTGCATTGCAGATTGTTCCATTTTCCACTGTCACCTGCTTTCGCCGCTTACCTCTCCACAGCCAGCAGAGCTGTGACAGTGCACTGACCCTTGGGTCGGACAGCTGTGATGATGTGTCTGTGTCAAGTTAGTGCACAATTCACAATTATTACGAAAAATTAAACTACTGAAAACCTGCTGACAATAACTTTACCACTTACATTTTAACCCTTTGCCTTTATCATTACACAGTGTTACATGAATTTACCAAACTGTTACCAACAGGTACAGCAGAACATCACTAAATCATATTTATAAACCTGAAGTTGCCTCCTCATTGCCTTCAGTTTTGCACAGCAGAGCAGGTGACACAGCAGAGCACCATAGGACACCTCCACTCGCCATGGCACAATGGGGCAGTGCAGCAGTGCCTCTTCCAGAGATGAAACAGCAGTAGGCCCCCACTGTGACACGTAACACAGCAGAAAGCACAGCCTCAAGAAACTCGAAAAGGTGGGGCTTAAGGAAAAAGCAGTTAAGTAGACTTCACCCTTAATTAAATCACATTGGAGGGGAAAAATAAGAACAGCATTAAAATGTCTCCAGAAGCAGAATTCATACAAAAGAAAAAGCATTCAAACATTTTTACAGTAGTTACTATCTTTACTCAATGGCACCAGATTTCAAGTGGTGATGTGAAAAAAAAAAAAAAGTATCAGTAACATTTTCAATTTTCCCTCAAAGTTATTCTAGAAGCAGAATTTCTACTTGCTGCTCAAAGGAAGAAGTGTGAGCTGAGTATCGATGAATCTATACATCTTCTGATTTGGTTTCATTCAGGAAGTAGAAAAGATTTCCCATACTCAAGTTATCTACATATTATGCCTACATATAAAAACAACGCGTGGATATATACACGTAATGCATACACACACCTGTATGTATGCACACAGCTGGCAGCAGGCAGCCGCTGCCCTCACACCACACCAGAACCTGCTTTAAGGCTTCGCAGTGCATCCATAAGGGACAAGACACAGGCAGTTGCTCTTGGTCTGAGCTGTAATTGTTCCACTTCGTGATCTACTGTTACATTTCTAGTTGTGCATGACAAAAATTTCAATAACTTAGCATTTGCTGTATAAAAACAATTCCAGAAACAGAACTCCCTCGTTCAAGGAGTGTCCCCACTCCCAGCCCCTTCCATTGCTTTCGCTAACTGATTACAGAATATAAATCACATCAGAAACAGCAAGCACACTCCTTAGCCTTAATCTATAATGACATGCATCAGGTCATTGTGAAGCGTGGCCTTCTTTGATTTCCTCATCTTCTCAATTGCCCTGAGGAGATCCTGCTGCTGCACAGGCCGAATTTCATCTTCATCACGGCTTCAGGATAGAGAAAGAAAATAAAACCAAGAGAGTCATTTGGGTGACGCATGGCACCAATTCAAATAAAGAGAAGTAATCTCTGAGAACAGCAGCTCTGACTCTGACCCAGCACTACCCTTAGAATGTGCTTCTGTCTGTGCATGCTGTCTACCTGCAAGCATGGAGATAAACAGAGGAACATAACAGAGTACAGTTCCGTGTGCACAAGAGCATTGTGTCACCAGCGTTTCAAACTGGTAGCACACACAGTGAAGAAGTGTTACTCTTGCTGGTTTTTGCCAGCTCAAGCTCGACGCCTTGGAACAAACAGTTCTATTTTGATGGTCAAAAAGAATAAGATAACTTATTTAGTTTTTTTGGTCGTATGGTGGCAGTTTGTCAAGAAGGAGAGGACCTCCTGTTTTCTGTCAATCAGGGAGAGGTTTGACAAAATTGCTATAATTTGCCAGTTATATCAGAAAACAAAACCTAATAACTGCTCGATATGTAGCACCAAGAGCCTTCCCACTTGCTGCTTCGCTACTGTAACAGAATAAAGGCACCTACTTCTCTTCTTCGCAGGCAGAATTAACATATTCCCTGACGCAGAGGAGCGCTGCATCCCGGCACATTTCTTTCAGATCGCTTCCTGAGAATCCATCAGTCTCTTTGGCAACCTGGAGGAGATCTACATGTCTGTCCACCTGTCCAGAAACAAGAGAAAAGAGCATGGAGATCCTGAAAACTTCACTTTGTTCTACAAGTACAATAAATGGTTGCCTCCAAGTATTTTTACCTACCCTAAGGCGGGGGTTTTTCCATCTTGCCTTTTTGAGAACTAAAAAGAAAATTATTTGATAAAGTCTGAACTTTCCCAGGTAACCAATTTCATTAAATGAAAGTGATGTTTCATCCGATAAATCTCTTAAGCATGAACAAGCAACCACATGTGAATCATCACACTGCTACCACCTGTTACTGACAAGGTTCCTGAGCAGTTTCGGAAGCCTGATGGCTGGAAAACAGTATCATAGAAATAACAACTTGGTTTCCCCAACACCCTCACAAGTTCCTTGCAACTCAAAATGAACGCCACCCAATGGATCCCCCTTCTTAGCCACAGCCTTTTTTAGTTTGTTTTTAACATTATTCAAGAGACAACATTTTATTTACATAAGCACTTGCTTTGACCAGTAATACAGCAAGGCAGGAAAAAGTTTACCTTTTGCTGTTGCCAGCTCTCAATGCAGAGTAAGAACTTCAAAAGCTGTTGGTCGAGTTAATGAACAACTAATCCTATTTTACACAACCATGAAAGAGGGAACTTAGAGGCAAAAGAACATCTCTAATCCCATGCACTGGATCAGACTGGACTCATTCTGGTCAAGACCTCATATTTATTCACCCAGTTTACAGCTCCTTCCAGCAGATTTTCCACTCAAGACACATTTTCCTTTCAAGAAGCTGGAGTGATGGAGTGATGGAGTGGACAAAGGCAATTGATGCCATCTGCCTGGACTTCTGCAAGGCCTTTGACATGGTCCCCCACCACATCCTTACCTCTAAATTGGAGAAGTACGGTTTTGAAGGGTGGACTACTCTGTGGATAAGGAATTGGTTGGAAGGTTGCAGCCAGAGGGCTGTGTTCAATGGTTCTATGCCCAGGTGGAGACCGATAATAAGCAGTGATCCTCAGGGGTCTGTCTTGGGACCAGTATTCTTTAACATCTTTACCAGTGACATAGATGATGGGATTGAGTGAACCCTCAGCAAGTTTGCTGATAACATTGAGCTGAAGGGTGCTGTTGATACAGCAGGAGTGAATGCCATCCAGAGGGACTCCGATCAACTTGAAAGGTGGACCCTTGATAAATTAATGAGGTTCAACAAAGCAAAGTGCAACGTTTTGCACTTGGTTTTAAGGGAATCCCAGATATGTACAGAGACTGGGAAAAGAACTCCTTAAGAATAGCCCTGCGGAGAAGGACTTAGGGGTTCTGGTTGATGACAAACTGAGCATGAGCCAGCAGTATGCTCCTGCAGCTCAAAAGGCCACTGGTACCCTAGGCTCCATCAGAAGAGGGGGGGCCAACAGGGACAGGGAGGTGACTGTCCCTCTCTACTCTGCCCTCATAAAGTCCCACCTGGAGTACTGCATCCAGGTATGGGACACCGCAAAAGCTCCATCTCTCTTGTGTTGGAGAGGGTCCAGAGGAGGGCCACAGAAATGATCAGAGGGCTGGAGCATCTCTCCTATGAAAACAGGCTGTAAGAAATGGGCTTTTTCAGCCTGGAGAAGAGAAGACTGTGGAAAGACTTTATTGCAGCCTTCCAAAATTTAAAAGGAATGTAGAAACTTGCGTTTCTAAACGCAAAATCAAGTTTTTACACAGGTACATAGTGATAGGATGAGGGGATTTTAAAGAAAAAGAGATTCACATTAGATGTCAGGGGGAAGTTCTTTACTATGAGAGTGGTGAGGTGATGGAACAGCTGCCCAGAGAGGCTGTGGGTGCCCTGTACCTGGAGGTGTTTAAGGCCGGGTTGGATGGGGCCCTAGGCAGCCTGATCCAGTACTTGATCTGGTGTCTATGGCAGGGAGGTTGGAATTGGATGACCTCTGAGGTCCCTTCTAACCCAAGCCATTCTATGATTCTAAGGTGTTAAGGCCAAAGCAGTCTAACCAAAAGACTGAGATTAAGGAGTGATTTCCAAGAGGGAGATAATTTCACAGAACTGGCTGCATGGTAGTAAAAGCAAAGCCTAGCTGTCTCTCAGTGCTCTGCTTTAAGCATGGCCCTACACACAAATATGGAAGCCCAC